ATGTAATTTTTAAGTTATACTCCCATAAACGGATGATCAGATAAACTCAGCTATGTAAAAGGTTAACCCCCTCCATTTTGGAATTATAATCCATTTGTTAGATCAACTTAGTCTATGGTATGTTTAAACAAATATTATGATACTTTCAGTGTTCGGACACGTTCCATGCCCAACTGATCTTACTAGCTAAATGGTTATAAGATTATTTTAACTATTTCTGCACCTTTGTTGTATAGAGAGTGGCACATAAAACACAAAAAAATGGCCTAGAACAGCAATGGGCAAACTACGGCCCGCGGGCCGTATACGGCACGGCGGACCTTTTAATCTGGCCCGCGGATGTGGCTGTCAGGATGTGTGTAGGCGGGGCAGCGTGACAAATGTGAGGGGAGGGGAGCTAGGCTCCTCTCACAGTCCGCCCTGAAGACCGGAACGGCGCGGGAACACGGCGAGAGGAACGCACGGAGCAAAGGTAAGTAAATTGACACAGGGGGGACTTGGCTTACTACTTGGGGGGGAATAGTACTGTGGGGATGAAATACTATATGGGGGATGAATTAATATGGGGAATGAATTACTATATGGGGGATGAATTACTATGGGGGATGAATTACTATATGGGGGATGAATTACTATGGGGGATGAATTACTATATGGGGGGGATGAATTACTATGGGGGATGAATTACTATATGGGGGATGAATTACTATGGGGGATGAATTACTATATGGGGGATGAATTACTATGGGGGATGAATTACTATATGGGGGATGAATTACTATATGGGGGATGAATTACTATGGGGGATGAATTACTATATGGAGGATGAATTACTATATGGGGGATGAATTACTATATGGGGGATGAATTACTATGGGGGATGAATTACTATATGGGGGATTAATTACTATGCTTACTATGGGGGAATATTACTATACTTACTATGGATGACACATACACATCATTCATCTACTCTTGGTCCGGCCCCCGGGTCCAATATATGAACCCATTGCGGCCCTCAAGTCAAAAAGTTTGCCCACCCCTGGCCTAGAACACCCAAATATCACAAAATATTTAATAAAAATAATAATAATAATAATAATTATTATTATTATTATTATTATAAGAATATTAATAATCAGATTATCTTTTGTGGTCTATTTCCTACTAGATTTTCCCTTTACTTCTTGTTTTGGATACACAAAAGGGAATAGGAGGAAACCTCCCCAAACTGTTTGTTACCTTTGAGGCAAGGTTCACACTGCCGTGACTTAAGATCTGACTTGTGAGACCCCAAATTGCAAAATGGGGGCGGGTGCTCTGGGGTAAGGGGGGCGCTCCCCCCCAAAGCACCATGCTGGAGACAAGGGTCTCTATTTCAGGGGTCATTTTTTTTTGTAATAAAGAACTTGTTAACTGTTTATTTACTGTTTTTATTCCCTTTTTACACTTTTTTGGTGAATGAGTAGGGGTACTATGTACCCCATACCCATTCACATGGGGGGCAGGATCTAGGGGCCCCCTTGTTAAGGGGGCTTCCAGATTCTGATAAGCCACCCGCCTGCAGACCCCCACAACCACCACCCAAGGTTGTGGGGAAGAGGCCCTTGTCCCCATCAACATGGGAACAAGGTGCTTTGGGGGGAAGCCACAAAGCACTCCTCCATGTTGAGGGCATATGGCCTGGCACAGTTCAGGAGGGGGTGGCGCTCACTCAAAACCCCCCCCCCCCCCTTTCCTGACCTGCCGGGCTGCATGATTGGATAAGGATATGGATTTCAGTGGGGGGACCCAAGCTGTTTTTTTTTTTCCTGTTTAATTACTGGCATTATTTTATTTACATTCTGCTGTCAGCGGGGAAACCACTAACAGCTGATGAGTCATCGGTTGTCAAGGATGCGGCGGCAAGCTTTTTGGCAACCAGCTATTCTTTACACAGAATTTGGATCGGTCGATACATTTTCGAACAATTTGAATTCCAATCATTCCAATAATTAGGATTTTGTTACAAAATCCCAAAATTTAACGAAAAAAAAAAACCCTGATATTTTCTAATTGGCAAAAAAAATAAATAGCAAAGTCGCATGGCATAGTAATGTATCAAGTTGTACTCAAGTCTCATCAAGTCACTAGCAAATCGCTAGGAAGTCACCTGGCAAAGTGGTACCATAAGTAGTGCAACTTATAGGTCGCAGTAGTGTGAACTGAGCTCAAATTAATTATTTATCAAACTTTCTAACAAACAGAGGTGTGAACCCCCCAGTGGGGACACAGACAACAACAAAACACTTAAAAGATCTAGGATCTAGCAAGGTTTTATCTTTAAGCATGTATTAAAATAGCATTAAAACATTTGTTAACAAGGTTTGGTGTTAATAATGTAAATGAACAATATTAGTGGGGGGACCCAAGCTGTTTTTTTTCCTGTTTAATTACTGGCATTATTTTATTTACATTCTGCTGTCAGCGGGGAAACCACTAACAGCTGATGAGTCATCGGTTGTCAAGGATGCGGCGGCAAGCTTTTTGGCAACCAGCTATTCTTTACACAGAATTTGGATCAGTCGATACATTTTCGAACAATTTGTATTCCAATCATTCCAATAATTAGGATTTTGTTACAAAATCCCAAAATTTAACGAAAAAAAAACCCTGATATTTTCTAATTGGCAAAAAAAATAAATAGCAAAGTCGCATGGCATAGTCATGTATCAAGTTGTACTCAAGTCTCATCAAGTCACTAGCAAATCGCTAGGAAGTCACCTGGCAAAGTGGTACCATAAGTAGTGCAACTTATAGGTCGCAGTAGTGTGAACTGAGCTCAAATTAATTATTTATCAAACTTTCTAACAAACAGAGGTGTGAACCCCCCAGTGGGGACACAGACAACAACAAAACACTTAAAAGATCTAGGATCTAGCAAGGTTTTATCTTTAAGCATGTATTAAAATAGCATTAAAACATTTGTTAACAAGGTTTGGTGTTAATAATGTAAATGAACAATATTAAAATAGCCTGAGGATACTAAACTTTCTTCCAAAGATGTAAGCAGAGTCCTTACACAAGCAACTACTGGACCGAGCATTTCAGGACACCAGACAGAATATCCCCTTTAACCTCCCTTGCGATCTGATTATGTCAATATTTCTGTGCTCAAAGCGGTACATTTGTTTGCATGGAAATATGCCCTTTTTTTATTGTAGGCCTGTAATTTTTAGGAATAACTCACTGAAATCTGTCCGAACAAGAGTCTAATAAACATCCCGGGTATGATAAAATTTGAAACACGAAATCATAAATTATAATACAATAAATAATCATAAAAAATAATAATATAATAATAATAAATTTAATTCAATAATATAATCAAACCAAAAACACTGAAATTTGAAATACAGCACCAAGTTCGCACATCACTGAGCAAAGTCGCAAAATCGTTTTCAGTGTCTGATGACGAATTTCCCCACGAATCATTATCACTCAATTCTGCAAGTGGTTCTGATTTATTATCGCTGTTCTCTAGCTGGTCTAAAACCGCTTTTGACCTAAAGGGATGCTTTTTGGATGCCATGGACGTTTCTCAGTTTCCAGGCAGAAAGAACAGTAAAAATGCAGGCAGGGCACAGGACAAAGCACTCGGGACAAAATGCATGTGAAATGCTTTGATACAGTAATGTTGTACTATGAGATTTTAGTGTATTGAGTGAATTTCACTTTTTAACATTTTTGAATTTCCCGCCAGTTCTGTCCCCTGTATGTCCCGACGCTCGCAGGGAACGGAACCCAGAAGACGGATGCCGGCATTGGCCGGAGGAGATGGCCGGAGGACGCTGCAGGGAGGACATAGCGGGAGCGCAGAACAAGGTAAGTGCTGGAGGGATCCCCGAGCAACACTGCAGGGTAATCCCGAGTGTAGCTCGGGGTTACCGCTTTTGGTACTGAAAGTTAACCCCGAGCTACACTCAGAATACCTCCGTGGGGGGGGGGGGTTAAACAAACTGATTCTAGCAAAAGAGGGATAGAAGCACACAGTTACAGGGAACTTTCACACTAGTGTGTACTCATTAATGTTATTGGATAGTTGGTTGCCTCCTCCCAATATCTTTCAGACACATTTCCAATGATACCAGACTAGATCCCCAGATGAAAAGTCCCTCAGTCAGCTCAGACCATCAAACACAGCAGACATATGGCAAGCTTGCCCAGAGGGCAACCCCCACCCCCAGGCTGTGATCTCCTCCTCCTAGGACAAGACACCACTGTTCCCAGTCTCAGTGTATTTATACACACTTCCAGCCATGATCTGGATGGGTATACTCTCCTTGGGCTTGGCCAGGGCTACATAAATATGCAGCTGCTGATCTGACTCTCCATGCACTCCATGCCCTCTATCTTCCAGAACCTTTCCAGACAGACAGGGGGAAGCAGTCAACCCAACAGCCAGTGAAACACAGAACAGACCAAAATAATCACTGAGTACAGTGAGCCAAGAACTAAATTCACCTAACCAAACACCTGTCTAAGTGGGTGCTACCTTTAAATGGAAACTGGGAAGAAGCTACACTCTTTAAAGTGTAAGGCATGAATACAGAGATTTCCTTGGGCCCGCAGAAAATGATAAGAACAACAAATAAAAATACTTGTAATTGCATCTACGGGTAGCTTAAGGAACCCTAAAGCATACTTATGGGAATACTAAAGTAACCTCACAGTCAGTATTGTTGTCTGTCATTTTAGCTTACTTTAAGTACCATCTATCCAGCCTTAAGTGTTATTGCAGCTGGATGAATCAGGACCAAGGAGTCTAAAAGCAGCCATGTAGCATGAATAGTGTGAATAGGTACTCTGGTTGGGTGAGTGTGGTTACAACCTCCACTTGGTTACCATTAACCAATTTGCTGATTTTTTTTTTCCCGCAAACAAGTATTTTTGTTTCCACAATGAATAAAAAATAACACTGTTATTGCAGTCTCATTTTTTTATTAAACATATATACTTACTATCAGGATGTTCATAGGGCAGCCAATGATGTTTTAAATTCTGAAATTCAAAGTGGGAGTTCTTCTGATGACATTGCTGTGCTCTGAAGTCTTCAAAGTGCTTAGGACATTCTTCAGTGTTACACAACTGATACTCATAGTTCAATCCTGTGCAGTCTTGGCCACCATTCACTGGCCTAAGAAAAACAAAAAACATGATAAGAGATAAATTGTGTAACAACAATAACAATTACCAAAGTTAAGAATGTAGCAACATTTTTTTTTTTGCAAATACTTTTCTTGAAATACAATTTTAACACAACAATTACATTATTATCAGGGAAATTTCCACTTTATCCAAAAGTGGATCCTTTTCCGATCTATATCCTAGTGTTTTTGACAGTTTTTGTAGAATTTACAACACTTAAGACATGCTTATGTTTCTAGAGCCTAGGTGTAAAATCTGTGCACCCAGACCCCCAATGGGACCCCACAATAATTTCTTAGGGTTTTTACAGATGGGAGTGCTCCATTCTGTTCAACAAAGGATCCATGAACAGATCTTGTACTGAATCAGAGCTAAACAGGACGGATGTCAGTTTTATGACATTTATGCCCCATTAGATTTTGTTTGCATTTTGAAAGTAGACTGTGGCTCATAGTTGTTCTATGGGACGTGCCTGTTTATATCAGGCGATCTCCTATCTGTCACATTTAGTTCTGAAAAAATGGAAAAGGATAAAGTCCTTTTTTGGGTTTTTTTTCTGGACCTGGATGGACTTGGAGGTAGGCAGATGTAAACATATACAAGTCTGTTGACATACACATACCCACAGACCTGCATGAAACTTCGAATCAGATCCACCTAAAAAAATGACAGGCAAACCTGATCTCAAAGCCTGTGTGAAAGGGACCTTTGTTAGGTTTGTTGCTAGCTAAAAAGGATAGTAATTCAAAAGACTACTTACAAGTAACATTTTAATGTCTCAAAACAGTGGCACACCAATCTTTGGAGTCACAGGAAAGACTACAGGGATACAGTACTAGAGGCCAAATATAAAAAAGAAGTTTGAACTAAAATACTTCAGAGTGCTTACAGCTAGAGGGGTCAGTAGGTCTTGTTTGGGCATCATTATTTGGATGATCAATGCGGATGGCAAACTAGTACCCCACCATAGGCATTGAACATCTCTGTACAATCAGCTAAATAAGTTCAGTTATACATTAATGTTCGCATATGCTGGCCCACGATCTAAGATTTCCTTCACAGTTTATTTCTTTTTTTTCTCCTTTTGTTTTAGTAAATCATTCCCAGTAGGTTTGTAAAACTGTTCGATAATATATGCACTTAATGAGAATCCTGCACATAAAAGCCTATGGAAATGTGGCAGCCACATTTAAGCAGTAAACGGCTCATATCAGATAGTTGGAGATCCCAGATGCCAGTTTCAGAACTACAATCACTTAATTATATATTCTTAACTTCAATATCTGCAAAAAGATGAAATCATTCAAGAAACATCAGCTTTATAATAATTAATAGCTCTTAATATGGACTAATTTATTGGTTAATTGCTTTGCAAATAAAATTGCATGTGCTTGGAAACTGCATTTATATAGAGGCACAAAAGGAAGAGGTGAAACTGATTAAAGCAGTAGGGATAGGATTTGCAAAAATAAAGTAACTGAAACACTAAGGCCCCTTTTTACATGGTGGGTCCAATCAGGTCAGCCTGACAGTCTATTCAACCCTATGGACAATCAGGTTTAAACAGACTAGTGTCCATTTACACATACCTACCACCGGGTCTGACCCTGTCCACTTAAAAAAAAAAATCAGATGGGGATCAGTCCTCTTCTGTTTAGGTGGACTGGATCGGAGGATAGTTGGGTGTAAACAGACAGTGGAGTCAGTTTACTCCTAGTAGCCCATAGAGCAGAGTGAGCCCTGTCTGTGTCTACTGTGCAGGACATGGATGTGTGATTCTTCCACTCTGCTCCGATCATCAGGAGATCTGTAAGTGGATCCCCTGCTGATCAGGACAGAGTCCCCTATTTAAAAGTGCTTAAAATACAAAAAAGTACAGTGAATGTGAATATTCTCTAGTGGTGAATCAATCACATGACCTATAAGTGCCAGCTCCCTGGTAGGAGGGAACACTGACAGTGAAGGGGAAGCCAGGGGTTGATGTCACGATTCTCTAAATACAGCCCCATTGTTGAGCAGGTTCGCTGATACAGGAGCCGCAGCTTACAGGTCACGTGAAGCTGAAGCTAATAAAAAAAATAGGTATTTACACAGAACACTTTTACAAACACTAGACAGTGTGAGGACAGGTTAAGCAAAGTTAAATTGTATTAGACTTTACTTTCAATTTAGGCTAAAATAGCCCACACTGTGTCTGCAATCAACAGATAGATAATTATTGACCAATTGCTGACCTTTGCATTAAATAGTTAAAATGGGTAAAGATGTCACATTATGGAAATAATTGGGTCCAATAAGTGGGCCCAGATTAAAAAAAAAAACAAAAAAAAAAAAACAGTACTGTTGGGCAAATATGTGTACCTCTTTCTAAAAACATTCCATAATTGGACAGGGGTCCAATGGGAATTTTACAAAAAAGAGAAACTGTAAACTATAGAACCATCCTTAGAAAACATGCTGGTGTTAAGGTCTAAATGTGACAGAGACCCTTACATAATTGAATACAGGAGTCAAGTGTAACCAAAGAGAAAAAAGGTAACCTCTAAACTATTGTATGTTGATGTCAAAGTTTAAATTTGACAGAGACTCTGCCCAAATTAGCCTCCAGGGTCATGTGTAATGTGTAATAAATAGGAAATGTTTCCCTAAAAGAAGAAACAGTAAACTAAAGAAGCATCCCTAGAAAATGTGTTGATATAGATGTTTTAAATGTACATTTATCCTTACATTGGACTATTGCACTGACGTGTTCTAAATCGGACACCAATACCGCAAGTTCTTGAACAGGATCCAAATTTTGACCATGCTCCCCAGTTGCCATCTTGTTTGACTTGGTTAGTGGTTCTCCACATACAGTGACCCTTGTAGCACCACTAGAAGGGAACATGACAAAATAATTAAATGCGATTATTTTCAATTTATTTTTACTGAATTTATCAAAGGAAGAACAGATGTACAACATGTTCAAAAAATACATTCTAAATCAATACAGAAAATATGGACATTAAATAAAAGATTATATATATCAATATGATAGGATATAATACGATATGATAACAGAAATTATAGACATAAATCTGTCTAATGCATTTATGTAATAATACCAAAAACACATAATCTGTACAACAGGCCTGGTTTATCTATACAATCGCCACAATAAAGAGCTTGTGTACCTAAAGTTGGTACTGTATTCTTATTGTTCATCTTTAATTGTGTATGTAGCTCAAAGCTTCAGATCTGAAGGATTATAAATTACATATATTAGAAAATAAAATAAAAATGAAAATTAGAAGGATAAGAGTAAGAAAGAAAAATAGTAGGGAAATTAAATAGAAATGGCAGTAATCTAAAAAAAAAAAAGCTGTAGATATAGCTGATAGTTTTAAATACGTGCTTATACCCGGGCGAATCAAGCTTGAAGAGGTACCAGTTTAGTCAAAGTTTGCAAAACTGATCTAAAGTATCTGAAGATAAGGGTCTAGTTTATTCCATGGCACATATAGAATCAGTTTTGTACAACCAATCTTTTAATGAGGGGATTAACTAGATTTCCAATGTAAAGGAATCAATGTTTTGGCTGAATTGAGAAGGTTGATATTTAATGGATTTAAGTTTTATTACACTAACAGTTAATGAAACACAGTATATCAGTTCCCCATTTTAAACTGACATGTTTGGCAGTAGTTGATCAAGTTAGAAAAATGATGCCTATATCTTCATTTGCTGCAAATACAAAAACTCTCCCAAGATCATCACTAAATGTAGGCTTACTATGTGGCATCTTTCAGTAACAATCTTGGAAAGACAAGCAAAGACATTCTGATGGCAAAGGAGTCAGGAGAGCAGTCTGACAATGTGACACTGGTGGAAGTGTTGATTTTCTGACAGAGTTGTGATATACATATATATATATATATATATATATATATATATATATACATATACATATATATATATACACACATTTCATTAGGAAATTGCTGCATTAGACAATGCTTTTCTAAGTACACCAAATACAGATTGCCTCCCTATAGTTAGTTTCTCTTTAAAGTTAAATGTGGACTACATTTTTTTCTCTGTCTATGCTGTAATGCAAGATTGTGAAAAACAAAACACTGTTTCTTCCAATTTGTGTGGTCTTGTGTCCAGGCTTGTACAGTCTTTACTAGATGCAGGTATACCCCAGTGAGAGCATTTTACTATTCTAGAAAGCAGAGCATAGTCCAAATTGTGCCGCCATTTACCCTTGAGTGATATGTGATATAACTCAAGGATGTACTGTACCATTTCCATGTGAAGTGTAAAATGAAAGTCTGCAAAAACAATAATCCAAACAGTTACCAGCTTTGCTTTAGCCAATACGGGAATCCATGTAAAAATTCTAATAAAAAAGTTAAACTGTCATATAATTAATCCTTGTAAAAATATGAATATCCATATAATTAATAGCAATAAAAATACCATCTAATATTGGCAGGAAATATCTGCAATAAAGCAGCAGGAGTTTGTATTTGGCAGGTTAGGATGTGCAGCTGAAGCCACCATCATTATGTCATTTCCGTTAAAGGTTTGTTATTTTAGGATGGTATATGCAAAGTGATTGCTTATGTGGAATGACATTGGCAACAGCCTAGCCAAATAGGAATACATTTTAACTTTTTTACTAGAATGCAAATCACTATACTGTATATAAAATGGCCTGACTATGCCTGTACTGGTCTGTCTGTGAGTGGCTGTAGGTGAAATTTACTGACTTGGCAATGATAACCAAAACTCTGTAATAATTTGCATTGAACTTATATGGACCTTTTTTTAAGAAAAATTACAATTGGTATACACAAATAATACATTAAAATGTTTCATTTACAACAAGGTAATGAATTTAAAGTCTGTTGGAACAGAGCAGAAAGATTATGGCATGTAAATATTGGCTCCAATACACCATTTTCTGGCTTTCCCGCTGCTATACTCACCATTTTGCTGGACCTGTCCCACCAAAGACTGATACAACAATGCTGTGCTAGTCCTCTTTCAAGTTGAATGATGTTCAGCATCATTCAACCAGTTTCCTGTCAGCCCAGGTTATTGGAGCGTTGTTCCTTTCCCTGGACTAAAAGGAGAGCAGGATCAAGTCATTAGAGTCTCTGCTGCTTTTAAGATCTACCCTCCACCAAAAGAATAAGAGAATTAAGAGGACATGTTACATCACCAGACCAAATACACTTGGAAAAAAGGTATTATACACAGTTTTTCTTAAGGGTGCAGAAATGCCCCAAGGGGATGAGGACCTTGGGGAAGGGAGGAGGGGGTCAGCCCAGATTTAGACTAAATCTGTCACTTGGGGAGCATGGAGGAATTATTGATATCTCTACTAGTTGCCTGGATATAATGCTCATCTTTTTGCTTTGGTGATTTCAATGACTGACCCAGAACAACTATGTAGATATGAACTTTTGGCTTTTCTGCAACTTGCCTGATTTGTATACTTGCGCCACGTTATTGACATTAAGAAAATTAAATGAAAGCTAGTGGGTCAATATAACAAGTCAGATAACAATTTTAGGAGGACAACAGTGGCAGTTCTTCTACTTCTCTCATGACAGGTTTAATTTAAATCCTACTCATTCACATCAGCAAAGTGTTAATTGCAAAGTGCATTAACCCACTGCAGTGAGTCAGAATGCCCAATACTGTAGATAAACCACTCCAAGACAAGATATAAACTATGTGATTTGGGCAATACTGATTTCGCAAAAAGCAGAAATGCCTAATTTTGCACAATATGCTGCTTAAGCCAAAATTACTTGGAAACATTTCTGCACCTTCTTTTTATTTCCAGGGTATTTTGGGACTTGTGTTTTTTTTTTTCCTTTTTAGGTGTATTAGATCATACTTGTGTACTTTTCTTTTCTACTTTTTTCTGGGAAAAAAAGGGAAATAATTAGGCTAATGACAAGCCTTTTTGACCTAAGATAAAGTCCAGTATAGTTAAAATGAGCTTCTCCAACACTCAGAAGCTATTTAAAGCCTACTGGACTTTTAATCTTTTAATATTACCATTGGCTTAAATCCATTTGACTAAAATGGCATAACTTTCAGAAATCGTCAACTTTTGGTGGAAATTTCAGGGACATCAAAGCTCCTACTGTTACTCATTCCTATACAAAATTAAACTGGTTACAGTGCTCTTTGCGCTGTTTTATTTAATTTTTCTGACACACCAACAGATAGGCACAGGCAAAAAAAATAGAGCACAAAGTTGAGACCTTACATCAGTTTACATTCATAAAGCTTTCACCTAAAAATGGGAAGACCATTCTGTCAATAAACATTTCCTAGTGTTGAATGCTCCCTTGAGCTTAGCTTTGGCAGCCTACATTTTTCTTTCAAGACAGTTTTCCTTAAAAGAGAACCTCCAGCAAAACTATTAAACTTGATTTGGATGAAGGGCAATCAGTAGAGCATTTGAGTGAAATGATGTTTATATTTGTAACCTTGCTGTTTAGTTTAAGCATTGCAATGTTCCTTCAGTGATCTCCCTTCTCTGTGCTCCTGCTAATGTTATGTCAGTTTATTCCTCAATAAAGTCAGTAAAGCTGACACCAGTTTCTAAAGATAGCAGTCCAAACACAGTCCACCAAAGGAATCTAATGGAGCTGAAGGGCTGCAAAGGTTAGCATAGTAGACATAGACTGTAATCTTCAAGTAATGACTTCAGTAGCACTTCATATTTATGTATTATAAAGAAATTAATACAAATCCATAATCATTTATGCACATAACACTAACCTACTGGTGTTCATCTGTTTAATCTATGCATGTTACTTGATTATGAATTGTAACATTAAAAAAGGTTGCATTTTATTAGTTACACATAAACAAAATGGTAACTTACTTTTCCAGGAGCACATTCTGTCCCATCGAGAGGAGGACCTTTCTTGGTCTTACAAAAATATGGGTTATCAGGATGGCTGCACCACAATTGTTTGCAAGGGTCAAATGTACGGAACTGAAAAAAAAATATATATATGCTTTTTAGTAATTCTACATAATCAAGACATCTTTTAAAAGAAACTGAAAAAGGTAAAAAAAATATACAAATAAACATAAAAACCACACATCTAAAATATGTATAGCGTACAGCTGTGCACATTTTGTAGCCCACACACCAAAGTCGAAGCGGCACTGCTCATCCATAGAATAGTTAATTCCAGGGAGGTCTGGAAGTTTCGGCCAGTCGTGCTCAAATGGGTCATCCAGGAGGCAATCATACAAACTGAAAAACATAAAAATATGCTTAACAGTGATTTTATCACTACTTGCCATCATTATGTTTTGTCTAAATGAATCACATTATTTAGGTACTATTATATGTAAAATGTATAATTCTGTTCAGCCACTTTTGTGATTCAGGCACCCCTCCCATAATATGTTATTCTATTTTCCTTGTTCAGTTTGCAGCAGCATGAATCACCTGTACATCGCCACCTCCAGGGAAAATGTATTGAAACCAGGAAGCAGCTTGGTGACCTAAGTGTGCAGTGTGGCAGAGTTGTGTGGATCACAAGTCTGGCTGAATAGAATTACAATTTATTTGGTGACTTAACCAGTGGAGATATGCACATTTAAAATGTGTATTCAGTTGTTTGTCTACAGTTGCAGTTTATCAATGAAAATGTATTTCTATAGAAGCCTTCTCAATGGTAACTCAGGGATCTCACACAATCCATCTGCATACAGCAACAAATACCATCCCTATAATGTATTGCAGACTTAGGTCTAGTTTTACATTTACAGACACTCAATTTTTTAATATAAATTCACCAGTAAATATTGCTGAAGATTTGGAAATCTTGTAAACATGGGCAATGTATATATGTGGACAAGAAAAAAAAATGAAGAACATTCTGAAGGGGATGGAAATGAAAAAAAATGTGGATCATTCTGAAGGGGAATGAAAAAGAAACAGATGAAAAAGAACAATGCATGTTCTGAAGGGGCAATGAAACATAAAAAGGAAATATTCCTAAAAATTCCTTTCAATGGAAAAATTAATTGTCCAGGAAGTGTGTAATTAGCTTTGTTGTGTGTGAAGCAGACTAACAGGTGTATGAAAAACAGACCCTGCAACTCTAAAGAGGTATAAAAGGTAAATTTCAAATTACTGTATATGTCTTTTCAGCTCTTGACCACTGCATCTAGACCAGTGATACCGATGGAACGCTGCTTGCACCAGAGGAGCCATAACACTGCCCATGCTTGTTTCATCTCCACATCGATTTCCTTGTCCATCATGCTCCATTCCTAGACTGAATGTATAAGCAAACAATGTTGGAAGAAGCTAACTGATATTTTGTTTCAATCCACCAGTAAAAGCAAGAGTACATTAATATTACTATATTACAATCAGGTTTATTAAAATTGTAGTCGGGATGACCTTTGCAGCTCTTGTATTAATCTCTCTTTGGTCATTGTGTGCCAACTAATCATCTAATTCCTGCCCATGCTTGTTGGAGTTACATTATTCTGACACCGGACATTATTCAGATTGACTATGTGTCTACACTGCATTACACAACAGGCAGTGTACACACAAAACAATACTAGAAAAATAGGAAATTGTTTACAGGCTTACAGGTGTCTATGCAATTTCATTGTGTTTAGGTGTAATTGTGTCATGTGTAATGCTGTGATTTTACAGACACTGGTCATGAAGACTCCAGCTACTTGCAGACATTTCTGTCACCTTGTCTCTAGTATAGAGGTTGTCACAGTTTTATTGGCAGTCTTACCTTGCCAGCTCTTGGGTTATTGGTTACTCTTTTATTTCTTACAGTGCTCCTGTGCTCTGACTATGAATGGCAAAATATTTAAAAATTCTTAACAAGCAGTAAATGAGCTATAAACAAACCCTCACTAACTGCAGGTACTATAAAGTAATTAATTCTCAAATTTTACAACAGAGGCTCTGAAATCTTCTAAGTTTCTGACAAACATAGAAAACAAGCAGAGAGAAATTGTAATTCCAATGTTTCTTTTGTAAAATTTTAAGATTTTTTTTCTCCACAATGTCCACAATTACAGAGGTAAGTCAGGGCTTCCTTATAAAGTGCTGTTAGTGTGTGATAAAAATATTTAAAAATTTAAAGGTGCATTATTGAGGTACAGATGCACTTTAATTGTTTTTTTTCTGGTATAGTCAAATGCCTGTCTAATACACACAGTAAGTGATAGGTAGGTTGCTCTAATGCTCATGCATCACTAGTTCATTTATTATTTTATAATGTTTTAGCAACATTGAATTATTTTTGCAAGATTTCAATACAATTGGTCATCAATTCTTAAGGTCACTACATGATTATAGATATTGGTTTCAACACGTAAATGTGATAGCGTGTTGTATACATACACTATATTGCCAAAAGTATTGGGACGTCTGCTTTTACACGCACATGAACTGGGTTCAATATGAGTTGGCCCACCCTTTGCAGCTATAATAGCATCAACTCTTCTGGGAAGGCTGTCCACAAGGTTTAGCAGTGTGTCTATGGGAATAGCTGACTATTCTTCTAGAAGCACATTTGTGAGGTCAGGTACTAATGTCAGACAAGACAGCCTGGCTCACAGTCTCCGCTCTAATTCATCCCAAAGGTGTTCTATGGGGTTGAGGTCAGGACTCTGTGTAAGCCAGTCAAATTCCTCCACCCCAAACTCGCTCATCCATGTCTTTATGGACCTTGCTTTGTGCACTGGTGCATAGTCATGTTGGAACAGGAAGGGGCAATTCCCAAACTATTCCCACAAAGTTGGAAGCATAAACTTGTCCAAGTTTCATGAGTACAAAATAAGTTGGTGGCTTTCCAGACTACATCTTCGCATCAGACAATCCAATGCTGTCTGGGGCACTATTACATAGTTCTTTGTCATTTTTGACAGTGGATCTTAAATAGAAACACATTTGGGCCCTCTGAAAGAACAGGTTGTTTGCTCATCTACAGTAATAAATGTTAATGAATTCTATAAGTTTTCTTTGGGTAAAGTGTTTTTAGCAGTGCACAATGGTATTTAGAAAGTACACAGGAATTTGTTATGACTAATTCAAACAGAATAAACTGTCAAAAACTGGTAATCCAAACTGGGATACACCCTCTCTTAAGCCTACCTGATCAAGAAAAAAGACTTGTTTATCAGTATTAGCCATGCTTTCATTTACATGTCTACTTACACATGGCCAGTTTCATGGGCAACCACAAAGGCAGAGGAGAAACCATCTTCATGGTTCAACGTGCAGCTTCTTACAGGATGACACATTCCTGTGACTGGAGCATAGCCTTGTATGACAAACACAAGATAGTAATAAAATTCTTCACTTCTTTAAAAAAATTATTTGGAATACAATATAATTAACAAAAACAGTATTCACTACTGCAACCAGCCCCTCAAACCAAAGGGGATCTACACAGTGACTCCTTGACCATGCACAAAACGGATTCCATGCCCTGTTGTGACCCTCAACACAGTAAAGAATTGGAGGAGGCTCACATCTTCCTCCTTTCTAAAGCATTTATGGCCTCCTTTGTTGCATTAGGGCTAAGAAAACAACCTCCTCTAAGACAATGAACACATAATGGCTATTGTTTCTAGAATTTGTGTACCTTGCATTCCAGCAGGGCCAAAATCTTGTCTTGTCAAAAAAATTGCATGGTCGTGGTGTTCAGAATGGTTGGGGTCAGATTTTTGCTGTTGGAATGCCCATCGGCACACATTGTCAAGACTTCTTGATGGGTTTCCTCTTTCAATCAAACTGATAGACTACAAGAAAAACCATAATAAAAAAGAAGCAAGATAATACACTAAAATCAATGCAGTAGGCAATGCTACACTATGATTTAATGAACATTATTAAAGTAGTCATAATGATAGCAGCAAGGCTCGCTTTAAGGTCAAACCAGAAAATATCTATAAGCAACCGCTAACTTTATCAAAATCCCCTGAATGAACCTTCTCAGTGAAAGAGCCATTCTGCCAGGCTGGATTTTTCTAGCCAATTTATATTGTTAGCTTTGCCTTTCCTCCACCAGGTAAATTTCCACGGTTGGAGGTTCACCGTGCTCCACTTCCTTCTCTCTATATTTAAATATTAACATTTGGATGAGCAGAACATGCATGCTCATGGAAAAGAGCTTTCTTTGGTCAGATTGTGCCTGCATATTTGAACAGCACATTGTTCCTGCATATTTGAACATGTTTATGGGCAGCCATAGATTTTATTGAACTTTTTTACCAACATCATTAAAAAAGACCCACGTGATTAGATACAGTCTGATTGGCCCATTTAGGACAGGTCTTTAAAAAATTCTACTGCTTTTGCTTTTATTGGACCAATCAAAATATTAGCATATGGCTTCAATTTAAGAATGTATGGTCTAATAGCAAAGGTCCTATCCACAGCAAACAGTGAGACTTTACCTTCATTTGACTACCTGCACTGTACATGACAGCTGGGATGTGATTGGTTACTGTGGTCATTTTATGTCCTATACATGTAAGGTTACATAACACTACATGACAATTATCATCTTGAACAGCTTTACCTTGTAAAACAGAAGAACATCATATTAATCAAACTTTTTACCTTTGCATAACCCAGCATAATCATTCGAACAAGGACTACGTTAATGTGAGCACCGATGGAGTCATCATGATAAATTTCATTAACCTACAGAAGAGAAAATCACATTAGGAAGTTAAACGTATTGACTAAACTGAAAAAAAGAATATGTGAACAACATGCCCAGTGCAACAAATATTAGTTACAGTAAATGAATATCTATTACTAAAATTTAGACCTGCATTTCTCAGCCTTTTTACTCCTGAGAAGCCATTGAAATAATTTTGAGCTCTTGGGAACGCCTTCTAAAATTATTAAACCTACAACCAATAATGTAGCAGTCTTTCTATATTTGACACCCCACTGCAAAATTATTTTCAATTCTTAAA